ACATTTTATACAAAAGACTTGCCCCAAATTTTGATTTCCTATCCTTCTCCTCTCAACAACAAAAAAAGAGGTTTATATGGAAGAACGGAGTTTTCTTTCCAATATAGCGTGAAAATTACAAAGAAAAATCAACATACAAAATTTATATGTTGAATTTTTTATTCTAAATGATTTGCCTTTTCGGAATAATCGAGCCAATTAGAAATTTATGGAACTTCATTTTTGGTGAAGGTATGAGTTTTTTTAAGTTATGTGTTGCGTTCTTTAATAATTTAGACTAATCTATAACTGAATACTTTTACTACGTTTGTTTGTCAAGAAAATGGAGAGAAAATGAATTAAAAATTTCATTATGATGTCGATTGGGTAACCAGTATTTGAATAACTTCACTCCATTCAACCAAGAAGCGTGAATTAACACATTCAAATTTTGATTTTGTTTTCTCTTCCCACGTTTTACCAGCAATTTTAGTTTTGTTTAATCTCTAGTTCTATGATATTAGGACAAATCTTCGCAAGTACAAGTGCTAATTGTTAATTACTTTATTTCTCTAATTCTCACTACACTCAAGCTACACTCAAGTTGCATGAGTTTTGTCACTGCAATTGCATGAAACATAACGATGATAAATCTATGACAACCAATATATATATATATATATATTGGAATAAAAATAAATAAATAAATGAGAATCTAAATGGAGTCGTCATGATTTGTGAATGATCGTTGGTCATATATATAATATAAAGTTGTCTTACTTAAATATAAATTATTCATATTCCACATATTAATTTACTTTATGGATTATCAATTATCTATATTTGTTTTATTTTCAATGTGAATATTATACATTGTAAATTGATATATGGGAGGAAATTAAATTTAGATTAGAATAATCCAAAATTTGGTTTCCTATCCTTCTCCCCTGCCTTCTCGACAACCAAAAAGTACGAACCGAGGAAAATTAAAAAGGAAAAATCAGCATACAAAATTTATATGTTGAATTTTTTATTCTAAATGATTTGTCTTTTCCAGTATAATGATATACTGTGCAGAAATAAGTGTGATTTTTAGAGGGAGAGTTAGGGTTTATGAAGAGGAAAAGAGAGAAAGAAATGGTGAGTACCTGAAAATACAACCGCAAGACAGGGACGAATTGATGCCTGAAAAACTCAATACCCAGTATGCTATTTTGAGATACACCGTGACGAGAGAGGGAGATGGCGTACGGTGACGGTGACGAGGGAGGGAGGCTCTAAAGTTTGTTTTCTTTTGTTTGTTTTTTTGGTAGGGATGCGGCAGAAAGCTAGGATATTTTATTTTCCTTTTTTGCCTTTTTCTTTTTTACTTTCTACTTTTTTTTTTTTAACTTCGTTCATTTTTCCATTGGAGTCTACAGTTACCAATTTAAAACAAAAACAATTTCTTTTTTCACTATAGCATGGGTACAGCACGACCAGTTTACAGCGGAGAATCCCAGTCCGTGTCACTAACCTAAATAAGAGATCTCTATCATTACTCCTTATAATTTGGTAAGATAAGAATAAATTGATTCAATATATAACCTTATAATTTGGTAAGATAAGATATATATCCTGGATTTTTAGTGTTATATTGAATCTTATCTTATTGTTTATATATCCTGAACGAGAACAACTAATAGCAATATCATCACTAGTTTTTTGAATTGGAAGGCATAAAACATCGACATTACCTTGCTTATATATCCTGAATTTTTAAATTGGAAGGCATAAAACATCACTAGTTTTTTGAATTGGAAGGCATAAAACATCGACATTATCTTGCTTATATATCCTGAATTTTTAGTCTTATATTGAATCTTATTTTTCCTTTGGGTAGGTTATATATTGAATCTTACTGATTTTGCTAATATATTCAAATTTGGATTATTTTGACCCCGATACTGATACCCGTATCCCACCTTTTCTCCACTTATTTTTTTCCTAAAATGAAAATTAATTACCTTAAAAAACACATTCACACTCCACAATTATCACAAAATAAGTAATAAAAAAACACACCTTTTTTTTTGTTGTTGGAATTTATCACTTCAATTAGGTAATATTAACCAACAGGCCTGTGTCCTAGGCTCCTATTTCTCAAAGGGAGGTCAGGGGTTCGAACTTCCATGAAGGCATGTGTGTCTGTTCCAACTAGGAAAAAAATTAGGTAATATTAAAAATTCAAATTTGATCCTACTAATTTTCACCAAGGATCTTGTAATCCAATAGTATCTCTTCTATCTCCCCAAGTGGATGGTTGAAAGTTCGAATTTCCACAGGAGCACTTGAGTTTCTTACTATTGAAAAAAAAAAAACCTACTAATTTTCAACCCGACCCGATTAGAGGCCCTAACGGCTGGACTTGGAGTTTGGTGTAATGTTTATGATACATATATATAAATATATATATGTGTATAATGTTTAAAAAAAAAGATATTTTAACTTTTTGGAGGGGGGCCCACCATCGCCATTTTAGTGGTCATGGGACCATGTTTGGTCTCATATTCATTCTCTCACCCGTAAGCTTTCTCTCACTCTCTCATTCTTGGTTTTTTCTTTTTTCTTTTCTCCACCAAATTCAATCCTTGATTACTTCTTCATCCATTGGAATTTTTGGATGCTGTTTGCGGCAAATCGAAGAGCACGGCGAGATCTACTCATTGATACAAGCAATTCATCATTTGGTGCACTCTAGGGATTTCGAATTTTTGGACCCATTTGAAAATTTATCATTTTTGGAGGTAGGGGTGCTCTAATTTATGTTTTCTTTGATCTTTTGTAAATTTCCCCTCTAATTTGATTCTAAGCATGTTCAATTTTAACAATTTGGTCTATGTTGTTGTGATTGTATGTAATTAAGTTGATGGATGTACTTTATACGTTAATTGAACTTATAATTATGATCATATATTTGGTGGTGAAAATACATGCTTAGTATCGACATTTTAGATGCTTCCTTGATTTTTAATTGTTAAGAAAAGTGATATAAAAATCATGAAAATAAATGTCAGGATTTTCCTTAATAATGGATCATGATGTAGATGGAATATATGGAATTTATTGTAAATTTTCTTGAGAAATTGCCATGATGCTAGATATATGATATGTATCTCTATGTGTGTTATGTGTAAATAATATATGTGTATATAATTTGTTGATTGGATATGGAAAGCATGTTTTTGTGATTATGTCCTTATTTAATATGTGTAATTGTAGAAATTTTGTTGACTTAAAGCATGCTATAAAATCATGAGAAAATTCTTCTTCAGTATGAAATGTTATTAAGGTTTGATGATGTGAAAGTTATGGTAATTTGTGAAGCATGAAGCATTCATGCATCCACTGGGAGAGAAAAAAAGGGAAAAATATATTTTTAAAAAAACCAATGAAATTGTTTTGGGGAAACGTTTTTTTTAAGTGTTTGTGAAAACCGGACGCCTAGGAGGCGCCTAGTGGTCCGTGGTATTAGTGTGGTCTAAAATGGAGTATGGTTTAGCTAACTAGGCTGGATGCGACGCCTTGGAGGTGCTTTGTGGTCATGGATAGTTAGTCAACCCTCCATTCGTGACGCCTTGGAGGTGCCTTGGGTCGGATTACACTACGGTTTGGAAGTTGAAACGGTTGTGTTTCGGAAATGGGGAGCGACGTTGCATTGCATTGGCATACATTGTATATTTGATGGTTAGACGACTTGTGTACGTATTTGTTGATTATTATCGTTACTGTGCTTGTTTTTCCCGAGATATAATCCCGTTCTCTCGTATCCTATTCATTGTATGGATTCACAGGATCGTAAGAGGTGTGTCTTAGACGATTCCTACTGAGCTTTATGCTCACCCCATCATTTTAACATTTTTTAGGTCATGGGAAGGAAGTGGCGAATGACGTTTCTCCATAGGTTTGAAGGGGTTAGTGAACTGTTTTATTATCTTTTATATTTGTGAGTTCATTTGTTTTGTATAAGTTTTGGGATAGCACGTACATTATGTATTTGCCTTAGAACTTACCATAGTGCCTTTAGACTACCTTGGGTTCAGGTAAGAACCCGGTTAGCTATTTGAACCCTCGGGTTTGGATCGTTACATTTAGTGTCAGTTTGGTGCAATGGAAAAGGGTGGAAAGGGAAAGGAAGGTGATGGAGGGAGATTAAAATTTTGTGTTTGGCAAAAATTGTTGGAAAGAATGGGAAGGGTTTGGAAGGTTATGTCAAAGTTTTAACAGTGTTTTTCTTAACTCCCAAAAATGGGAGGAAATGGAAGGAAAGTGAAGGCAATGATTAATGGAGGAGTTGTGATTCCAATTTTACCCTCAAGAATACATAAATTTGCAAAACAATATACATACAAGGTAGCAGTTGCAGAGAGAGTGAAAGATGGCCGGTGATTAAAGCTTGCGAACGGCGAACTCGAACTGGAACAACGGCGATGGAAACTGAAAGATATGGGTTTTGATTTTTTGAACAATTTGAAAATTTCTGAACAGCGGTGATGGAACCCGAACTGGGTTTTGAACTTTTGATTCTTGCAGACAGATATGGGTTTTGAACTTCTGCAGAGAGAGAGAGAGAGCAAGTTCAGATTTGAGAACGAGAATAGAGATGGAGCTTGGAGGCGAGATTGGGGAGGCTGAAATGATTTGCCCTAAAATGATTTGTCCTATAATAGAGATGGAGGGAGATGAGGCTGAAATGATTTGCCCTATGTTTTTTTTTTTTTTTTTTCTTTTCTTGTGGCCGTAGGAGACATATATATATATATATATATATATATATATATGTTAAAGTATAAAATGGAAATAATAGTCAATTTATTAAAATAATTTCATTTCCTTTCTTTCCCTTCTTTTTCCCAAACATGATTATTATCTTTTCCTTTCTTTTCCTTCATTAATCAATTAAACACAATACAAAATTAAAATTATCATTCCCTTTCCTTCTCCTTAGTGACTAATATTATCCTTTCCCTTCAAACTCACCCTTCCAAACATGGCCTTAGGATGATTGGTTAATCGCTTGTACCTTTAGCTGCCAATAGAGAGCCGTGCTCTGTCCCTTTTTCAATCAAACGTACCACACTCTCCCTCTCTAGAATCTTATTTGATAATCCATTGCAAGAACATCTATTACAAATGTACATCAACGAGTAGAATCACTCAAAACCGAGTCCCGAAGATCAATTACCAGTAAGTAAACTCAGCATTGATTGTCCAGAGCTTCAATTTTCTTTATTCTTTCAAAATCCTCTTTATTATGTTATTATATAGAGATGGATTGTCGTGTTTATGTTAGCGATTTTGATGTGTTTTCAATCTCAAACTTTGTTTGGTTGCTGGGAAAATGATGCAAAATGAAAATAAAAGACGCTACAAACTAAGAAAAATAAAGGAATCTCGGGGTTTTCCGTGTTTCTGATTCCCAACTAAAATGAGCCAAATTGTTGTAAAAGCGCCCCCAAAACATAAATTATATTCATTTTCTTTCCTAGCATTGTATCAGCAGCCAAACAGGGCTCAAATCAACACAATGATTTTATTTTCTCAAATGAAATATTTGTGATTATACAGTATCTCCCAAAAGTTAATCTTCTTCTCTCTTTTTTTTACCCATTTTGTCTACATTTCATTTTATTCATCTTTTGTTTCTTAAAATATACGAATTGGGGTCTTGTGCAGAATATTTGGGAGGATCGTTTGGGTTGCAGATCTGGAAAATGGAGGAAGTCCAGGAGAAGCAAAGTCAATCACTTGGTAATTCATCAGATTCTGACATTCTTTGGGCCTGTAAAGTATTATTTTAAAATTTATTATTTTTTACTTCAGAAAATTAAAAAATTGGGTTTGTCTTTGTCTTGCATATATGTCAATTAGAATGCATAAATTGGACATTCATTTTGCTAATAATTTGGAAAATATAGGTAGTAGTACAATCATCGGTTAATCGGATGCATTATTTTGCAGATTCTGATCAAAATCCACATTTTAGAAAATTTAATACACTTCAACTATTTGAGAACTATAATATTTAGGATATGGAATTCAGCTCCAAAATGAGATGGTGGGAGATCTATGTGTGCCGAATCAAATGTTAGTAGGTGACAGCTGCATTGTAATTGCGAATTAATGCAAAGATCAGGGATTATGAGATTGTATAATCATATTATTAGTATATATGAAGAATGAAAAACAGAAGCAAAAACCATAGGTAAGTAATCAGTTTAAACTATTATATTAGGCAATTGCATTAATGTGATAATCAATTACTAGTGATCATGTTAATTACCAAAATGTTCAAAACCATTAAATGGAAGAATGAGAATATTATTATCGTTAGCGATGTATTAATCAAAATAAGGATGTTATTAACAACCATTAGATAGGTTGTAACTTTAAGATTTAAATCCTTCAACATGCCCCTTCACAAGTGACCTTTTGGTCCAACACATATTTCCATTTTTAACTATCAAGGAGACCTGAGGTACGAACACATGACATTGCCTGCTCTGATACCATCTTAACCACCATCTGCTTTGATAGCTCACCCTCTTGAATAGTGTAAGCTTTTAGAGTAGATGGTGGTTAACAGATGTGAATAGAGAAAATCTGATGTAACACGCAACTAGTGCTATAGCACAAGTATACAAGGGGACAAATTAAAGAATAAACTGCATAATGATATTATTTTGCTCTTAATTAACTTTTTGCATTATCATTGATCCTTCATTTAAACTTAGTTAGTGAGTTGTGATGACTGATGATTGATATTTACATTTTAGTTGATTTTCAATTTCCATCAAATATATTCACAATCATGAATTAATAGAAAGTAAAATAGAGTACATACACACGAAATTTTATGTGGAAAACCCAATAGGAAAAAACAACGGTACCTAGTCAGCTAGTCTAGAGACACACAGTCCTATATTTGAGTAAGAGAGTACAACAAGGTTAACAATTCCCACACCTTAGAACCCTTAGTTACCTGAACACACAAATCAATTCTCCAAACCCTCCTCAAATCTCTAGGTATACGATCCATCATTTACATACTTCACTCCTCACGAATCTGCTTCTCCAATGATTGCCCATCCTTTTTCCTCGGACAATTGGTCAGTTGATATTGATTGGACTGTTGAATTTCTACTTCATGAACACTCAATCACGTGTGGTGTAATCTATGGAAATCCTAGATTGAGTGATTTAGGAATTCTAATCTCAGAAGGATTTTATCTCTGTAGATGATTAGAGACTTCAAAATCATACCTAGACTGACTTTAATCCCATATTTAAAGTCAATAGGTAGTAGCCCCTATGTTTTGGTAAGTAGAAAAGTTTTTGAGTGAGTTTTAAAAAATACAAGTCTGTTAGGTTCGATTGATCGGCCCTTTGATTGAAACCTACTGGACACCCCTCGATCTATTGCGCTTTGATCGAGGCATACTAGTTTTCAAAATAATGTTTTGACTTGAACTCAATCAATTGATGCCTACTGGACAACTATCAATCGATCGACCCTTCAATCGACGCCTGTCTCAATTCAAAATACAGTTTAAAAAAATGTGAAAATCATTAACTTTGAAAAGTCATTTTTCAAAAATAATTAGCCAATCAAGACCAAACCAGGTCAATGTAAGTTCTTCTAAGGTCAATTACTTGTGCCCTAGATATGTATTGGAAGAAGCAGTACCTCTCCAAGGGGGGCAGGGTCACTCTGATTAAGAGTACTTTTTCTTGCCTCCCCACGTATTTCATATCTCTCTTTCAGATTCCTTCTTCTGTGGCTGAGAGAATTGAAAGATTGCAACGCAATTTTCTTTGGGGGGGAAGAGGCGAAGAGTTCAAGTTTCATTTGGTTCGTTGGGATCAAGTTTGTTGCCCGATTCGGAGTGGAGGTTTGGGTATTAGGAGATTGCAACCTTTCAACAAGGCTCTCCTTGGGAAATGGCTTTGGAGGTTTGGGGTTGAGAGGAGTTGGCTTTGGAGGAGGGTTATTGCGCTCAAATTTGGAGAGAGTTTTGGAGGATGGTGTTCTCTTGAGGTGCGTGGTCCTAGAGGGGTGGGGGTGTGGTCTTTCATCCGGAAGGGGTGGGATGAGTTCAGTAAACATGTTCGTTTTCGGATTCGAGATGGGAGGAGGATCAGATTTTGGGAGGATCTTTGGTGTGGAGAGCATCCTCTTGCTCTTGCTTTCCCTCGGCTCTTCAGGATTGCTTCTCATAGACAGGCTATGGTGGTTGACTGTTATCATCTTGATAACGAGAGACTGACTTGGGATGTTCAGTTTAGGAGGCATTTTCAGAATTGGGAGATTAAGGAGGTCACTTGCTTTTTGGATTTGTTGTACCGCCAGGTGATTACAGTTGGGGATTCGGATTGTTGGCTTTGGGATCCTAACTCTAAAGGCCGTTTTGAGGTTCGGTCCTTTTTCAGGTGTCTTTCGCTTGGCTTTGGAGGCCTTTTCCCTTGGAAGTCTATTTGGCGGTCTAAGGCTCCTCTCAAGGTGGCCTTCTTTGCTTGGACCTCTGTCTGGTAAGATTCGTACTCAAGATAACTTGAGAAGAAGGAATTAGGTGGTGGTTAATCGATGTTGCTTGTGTCGGAGTGATGAGGAGACTGTGGATCATCTTCTGTTACATTGCCGCTTGGCTAGGGAGTGTTGGGATTTATTGCTTGGTTTGTTTGGGATCCCTTGGGTCATGCCTCGCTCCTCTAGGGGGTTGATTGAGGCTTGGAGAGGTTTCTCAGTGGGGGCTCTCATTCAGGATGCTTGGAGGGTTGCTCCTATTTGTATTTGGTGGTGTATTTGGCTTGAGAGAAATCGACGCTATTTCGATGGAAAGGAGAAGCCTTCCTCTATGCTCAAGTTTTCTATTATTTCCACCCTCTTTTGTTGGGTTTCCGGGAGAGATTATAGATCTATTGAGGAGATTGTTGTTTTATTGGCCTCTTTGAAGGCTTGAGTCGCTTTTTGGCGTTTCGTTTGTATTTGGGTTTCGCTCCCCTTCTGAGCGCTTTCTTTATAATTTTTACTTATCAAAAAAAAAAAAAAAAAAAAACACACAAAAGATATGTGATTGAAGATGCAAATTTCATGCCATGTTCCTTTGCACTTTTGTGTCTACCTTGTCTTTAACAGATGTTGTTGAACAACTCTAGACACTTCAACATATTTTTGAGTAGGAATTTGTCAACACATGACTCATATACATAACATAAGCAATTAGTACCATCATCATAATCACAGGCCAATTAATGAAGGCAAAAGTAGGAGAAAAAATAAAGAGAAACTCCAGCTTTTGTAATAGGTAGTAGATGAGTTATCATGGATTGGGATTATAATATGACTAGGTCAACCTGAAAGCAACCCTCTAAAAATTCATGTCCGATGCCTGCCATAAATGTTCACCAATTCTAGTTGTTTGTAAAGAAACCTACTTTATTGGCTATGCTTCTGCATGCATTTTTAACTATGCAACCAACTAGTGGGTAGCAAAACCAAATTCAATTTTGAAGTTTCATTAATCTATTAGGGATTTGGCTATATAAGAGAGCCAAATATGATTCAACATTAGCTATTCGCCTATCTTTCAAAGCACATAAGTAATCCCAATTAAAAGGTTACCATGTCAGCCCACTCTACATTGCAAAACAAAGTTACCACTTACCCTTAGTAACACAAGTTATAGATTCTAATCTCTTATGAAAATTCCACATCAGAATCTACCTGTATAACAACATTCGCTTTTCAATTTGAATTTTTCAGTTCTCTTGTAGCATTTTTAAAACCTTCCTCGTAGGGATGAAAAAGAAGCCTGACGACTTGTCCCAATCCAAGCACATCAGGCCACTGTTGACGGCCCAACCCTAAAAGCTCGACGGGTGGGCAAAGGCTAGGTTATTTGAAGTCTGGCCTAGAAAGGGCCCTTGAGCAGCCTGTAAAATTAATAAGATTTAAGTCATGACTAGTGGGATCCGAACCAGTGACCTCCTGGTTGGAAATCAAATGCTTCACCGTTGAACCATGGATCAAATTTATTTGTATTCTTCTATAGTTATAGGCATATATACAAACACGTAAAGCATTGCATACCAAGACAAAAAAAAATGGAAACACATACATTCATATATATATGTAACATATGTCTTAGAATATATATATTTTATATATATTCATCCAAGACATATGTGGCTATACATTCCATATATATATATATATATATATATATATATAATCTTAGGCCTGGGCCTGAAGTTTTAGTCTGGCTTGGTCCATTTTTCATCTCCACTTACTGGCGTATTATTTGCACAACTTTTTTCTTGCTTCTTCGTTCAAACATCATTTTACTTCCATTTAATTTTAAAAAAGGCATTATAATATATCTTTACAACCAATTTGAAATGTAAGGTTGCAATGAGTGATTTTTGTTCCCTTCTTTTTTCTCGTCTCCTATTTTTGTTTTTTGTTTTTGTGTTTGTTGAGATTTCTACCTTTGTACTCTAACAACAACAACAAGAATTGTACTTATAATAACTTACTTATCAAAAAAAAAGAAAAAAAAAAGAATTGTACTTATAATAAACAAATAAGCGAATAAGTAAATAATTAAGATCAACAGTTAAAAGAACAATAACATTAAAATATTTTCATCATCAGCTTTCTTTTATATAACTAAAAGACTCTTAAAAATTTGATAAGTCGGGAATACAAAGAAGTTACCTATTTAGAAAAAAGGATTTATTGAGTTGGGTTTAGACATTATGATATGGGAATTAATAGCCAAATTAAAAGAATAATCAATCAATTAAATGAACATTCATAATCAATAACATATTCAAGGAGATAAAGCTGCAAGTAAATCAGAAAACTATCCACTATGAATGAGAACAATCAGAAACCTGTCCACTATGAATGAGAACACGTGCAGCATCCCTTTGAGTCAATATTCTACCTTATATCAGTTGCTAGCTGGCATCTCTTTGATATATACTGGTCTGACCTCTACCTTGAAGTCACAACACCGCTGCTATCCACATCACACTCACACCATTATACCACCATACAATCAATCTTCTCTCCACAGGATTCTCAATCAAGCATATGCTGCATATCCACAAATCTTTTGTTCACTGTGTTGGTATTATTGTTGTCTAGTTGTTCTAAAGCATCAACAATCATAAACCAAGAATAACCATTGAACTCACACACACGAAGTGATTAATCACTCAATTGTCACTGAAGGTGTGAAAAAAAAAAAAAAAAAAAAAAGGTCTAAAAAACTTTCTTATATTTTTCTCTCAAAGAAGAGCTTAGAAGAATGTGGTTTAGCTTATATCTCACGGAGTTTTCTCTAAGTCTCGAGTATAAAAAGTTATATGCCAAGCAGACTTCATGTGCATCTTTTTAAGTTCAGAAAACTTAAGTTGAAAATCAATTGAGCGTGACTTTTGATTTTTAGAAACTGAATTTATGAAATCTGGGTTGGTGCTCAAACTTCAAACATTGGTTCTTTATATACTTGCGCTCATCTCTTGAGCATCAGTCTTGGGTCACTAGATAACCCTAAATCGATGTCACCTGTTGAGTATTGGTGCTCAATCTGCTGGAATGTTGAGCATCAGCGCTCGAGCTACTTGAATGTTCAGCATCAGTGCTCAACTACCTGAAAACACACTAAAGATTCCAGTTTTGACTAAAATATATTCTTAGCAATTCAAATCAAATTTGAATTATGTTTCCAAAAATCTTAATTTTCCAATTTTATAAAACTTCTTGATAAACTTTTGGCAAGATTAATCTTAATCTAGTGTCCATGCATGTCAATAGTAATTTATTCACATATTGTGTGGTCCAGCCTCAGGTCAATTAGACTGTCGATCTCTATAAATTTGCAATCACCATTTGATCTTCATGAAATCTTCTGAATCTTCAATCGCATTTCCAATTGTAATGATAAAATAAAAATACCCATAACCAAGAATAAATGGGTTTCATTTGATGCCTTCTTTATAGTATGTGATACTCATCTAAGAAAAGAAGTTATGGGTTTCATTTGCTGTTTGATTGAGAAGCTTCCTGAATGCAGTGGCTGTGGGGTAACGCTCATGCTGAGATTGCCTTATGGTAGCTTCTTGCCTAAGAATTATTGCGGAAATTAATAATGTCCTCAGTTTTTCGCAGGTCAGGATGGTGAAAATGAAATCATTGCTGAAAGTGCTTCATATGTGGACGGAGAACCTCCTCAAGATGGTAGTGGCCCCCCAAAAGTTGATTCCGAAGTGGAAATTCTTCAGGAGAAAGTTATAAAGCAAACTATCAAGGAAGGTCATGGTCAGAAGCCATCCATATATTCAACATGCTTCTGTAAGTCCATTATGTGGCTCATTACTAAATTGTTAACACATTTTCTTGTGATTGTTGAATTCTCTTTGCTCTTGACTATTTGCTGATATTATAATATTAATGTTGACAACTATCTACTCTAATAGCTTAAGCTGTTAGAGAGGGTGTAACTTTAATATTTAAATCCTTCAACACACCCCCTCACGTGTGGCCTTCTTTTGGTCCAACACGTGTTTCAATTAATTAATAGGATGATGGTGAGATTTGAACACAGGACCTTACCTACTCTTATACAATGTTAACAATCATCTACTCTAAAAGCTTAAGCTGTTAGAGAGATTGTAATTTAATATTTCTTGCCCTTTCTCCCCTTCCTTTTGTTCCCATTGCAGTCCCTGATGTCTATGATTGATGACTGAAAGTTGGATTATTTAGTAGCACATTTTACATAGTATCTTCTTCTTTTTTTTAAAAAAAAAAAAAAAAAAAATGTTTTAGTCGTAATACTCTTTTTGATAAGGTTGTATAAAAAGCACTCAAATGAGGAGAGTAGGCCCAAACAGAAAACAGGGACAAAATAGGGCCCCTATAATTACTTGAACTGTCCAAAAAATCAACTATCTACCCCCATGGATTTACAATTTCTTCTAAAAACCCAGTAAGAAAGAGAACTAACGATAAAAATCAGTTCCCCAATAGGAGTCTTCTTCCCATCAAAGGATCACTTATTCCGTTATTTCCACAAGCACCATCAAACGCACAAATGCGCTACCCTCTAAAAGTCACGGGCTTGGGGACCCACTGTACACCCTCTCCAAGCCTCAATCAAGCCAAGCGTGGATTGTGCCATAACCCACTGAACACCAAGTAAAGACAAAAGCATTCCCAACTGTTCCTTAGCCACAGGGCAATGCAGCAAATGATGATTCACCGACTCTTCATCCCTCTTGCACATACAACACCAGTTCACTACAATCTGTCTCCTTCTCCTCAGATTATCCAAAGTCGGAGTTCTCCCCAAAGTAGCCGTCCAAGCAAAGAAGACCACCTTGAGGGAGGCGTTCGTGCGCCAAATGGATTTCCATGGGAAAGGAAGCCTTGGGCCACCCGCAAGGGCCCTGTAAAGTGAACGCACATCAAACCTCCCCCGAGAAAAAAGTACCCACACTCAGGAGAAGTTAACAGAATCACCCACTACCTCTTGGTGATACAACATCTCCAAAAACCTCAAAACGTCATCCAATTCCCAGTCTTGAAAATGCGTTAAGAAATGGACATCCCATGTGGTCCTCTTGCTATAAAGCCGATAGCAGTCGACCACAAAAACATGCCTAGCTGTAGCGATCTGGAAGAGATTAGGGAAGATGCAATCCAATGACCAGTTACCACACCAGATAGTCTCCCAGAAACGAATGCCCTTACCGTCCCTGGCTTTGAATCCAAGATGTTTGGATAGTTCATCCCACTCCTTCCAAATGAACTTCCACACACCCACTCCACCAGGGATCCTCACCTCGCACGAACACCAACCTCCCTTCTCCTCACCAAATCTGCTAGCAATGCCTTTCCTCCACAATCTCTGCCTCTTCTCATCAAATCTCCATAACCACTTCCCTAAGAGAGCCTAGTTAAATGGCTTTCAACCTCCGAATCCCCAAGCCTTTAGACTAAATTGGCCTGCAAACTTGATCCCAGCAAATAAGATGGCATTTGAATTCCTCCCCCATACCACCCCACAAAAAGTTCCGCTGAAGCCTCCCAAGTGACCTCTGCACAGCGGCGGGAATTTGAAAAAGAGAAAGGAAGTAGGTAGGAAGGCTTGACAACATGCTCTTCATAAGGGTGACCCTCCCGCCCTTAGAAAGGTACAGTAGTAAGGAAGACTAGAAATACTCCAATCACCATCGGAGCCTAGATTTCTGAAGGGAAATCTGGGAAAATCCTGAAGAGAAGTTTATAAATTTATAATAACTCAAATTGATATTGATTTTGACTTGGTTACAACTGATAAAGAGGGCTGTCCCTTTTATAAAACTACTATTAATGAAACTTGACTTTTCCTATAATGACTTTTGGAATCCCCACACAACATCATTTACCACTTTCCTAATTAAATTCTAGTAATTCCAAAGCTTAGTAAAACAAAAATGACTCTTTGATTTTTTCACAAAAATGACTCTTTGATTTTTTCTTCAAGGCACTTTCCAAAGCACCATTAATGATTTGCATCAATTTTTGACTTGAAGTGCATGTTGACTAAGTGGGTTGCTGGATTCAGAGGGGTTCAAAATCGCCAGCCTAAGGAGACTGCCGCTGCCGCTGGTGGTTTCCGGCACTACCTCCTCACTTTCCACCAACCTCAACAGCAATTCTCACTTCTCTCCCTACTTCCGAGCCCATCTGGGTACCTCCATTTGTTGTCGCAGCAGCGGCCGTTAGCTCTGCCATCAACCTCTGGCGGCGGTGGTGGTGGGTCGCAGTGAGTTGGAATTGTGTGCACAGCGAGAGAAAGGAGGGAAGGAGGTAGAGCGAAGACGAAGAGATTAGGGCTGTAGATTGATTTATTCTGTATTTTGTGCGGGTTGTTAGGGGGGTACCTACTTACAACCCGCACATTATCCTATTTTCTCCGACTGACCTGTCACCTTTTAGTGGCCCATTTAGTTAAATCACTCACCCAATAGCCATTAATTAGCGGGCAGCTTTTGGCGGGTTGACGGGTTTGAGTAATTTTTGCCAGCCTTTATATGGACAATGTAAATTATTGAAAATATGAATGAATTTGATATTTTTATGTTCTTAGCATAACAATTACTCCTTACCTATAAAATTACCAAAAATACCTTGGTTGAAGAAAATCAGATTCTTCTAATCAGAAGGTCCTAAAAGACTAGCGAGCTCAACCAAATACTACTGAAAACAGTTTTTCTAACATGTAACATGAATGGCAGGTCTGTTTGTTCATGGGACCCAAAAGGCTTTTTCCCTTTTCCTCCTAGCATAGTCTTGTATGGCTGATTTTCACCATTTCTCTGGTAATCAAAGTGAATGCTGTCTTCCTCATCCTTAAGTTTGCATTTCCTATTTTTGCATTTGTTCTTTATGATATCACCAAGTGCTTGAACTTCTAACAGTGGAAAAAAAGGTTACATGTTCCTGGTTAGGGAATTATGGTTTATTCTATCTCGTGGGAGGTTATGAAGAAATGTTATTTAATCAAGTATTCTGTACGTTAGAATAACAGTGTTTCTTGTAATAGTACATTACAAGGCGTGGACTGAAAGCACCCAGCACAATTTTGAAGACACGTGGAATGAAAAACGACCAATCGAATTGGTGTTAGGAAAAGGTATCTGCCTAGTTGATACTTACTTCTGAGCATTTTGAGTTTGGTACCTAAAATTTTGTTTATAAAACATAAGGATCCTGGAGTAACCTAATTTCAGTTACCTCATTCTATCCTGCAAGCATTTAATATTTGTGGCGACTGGTTTAAGTAAAAATTAAAGGGTAAAGTACAGCCACACCCCCTCGAGTTTGGCAAAAGGACAGACAGGTGAAAGTTACCTATTTTTTGGACAATGACACCCCTTCAAGTTTGGAAAATGGACAAAGAGACCCTGACAATGGTGAATTGACTTTAATTACCCTTTCATATAAAATTGATATTTTAATTGACTTAAATACCCTTGGATCACACCCAAACCCACACCCAAACCCAAACCCAAACCCTTTCTCTCTGGATGTATGCCTGTGTATATACACACACACGTGTATATACACACACTACATAATCCCTGTGTAAAGAACCCATCAGCCGCCGCCGCCTCCGCCTCCGCCTCAAACTTGGATAAAATTCATCCCTATATCACTTAAGTTGACCTGTATTTCTGAAAAAAGAAAAAAAATTTAAACAAATTCTGGTGATCGAATCTAATCTATTGATTGGGATCGAAAACCAAAAGTGTGGATATAAATTGGAAAACAACTAATCACCCAATTGTGTACATATATGTGAAGTTGTCAACACATTTAACTTTTAATTGCTCTGAGAGGTATGAATCAAAATAATAAGGTAAATATAAATATATATATATAGATTATAAATATATTTTCATACATATTCCTATCTGAATGCTCTCCATAGCCAAATATCAAAGCACATCAGATCGTTCACAAGAATATATATATTCTTCTCGCGGAGGGAGTGCAAATCATACCATGTTACATGGGAAATCCAAAATGTAAAATTGGATTATATATATGTATATACAGATACATATATATACACACACATATATATGTATATACAGGTGGCAATGGTGTATGGACCCGCGGCCTTCATCCTTCAATTCAGTCGACTCAGAGAGCCTTAATCCTTCGAATCTGACCCAAATTTTGCAAAGATTGATACAGATATATGTACACACCCCCTTTCTGTCTCATTCACAACCCCTTTCTACAAATACAAACCTTGATTTGGCGGCAAAGGAGGGATCGGACGACCGGCTCGACTCGTCGTAGTCGTTGTTGGGGGTATGCGGTGGCGCCACTCCAGGAGAGCAGTGTGGGTAGGTGTGGAGGCAGCGGCTTCCCTGCCGGTGTTGGTGGTGGTGTTGTAATATGCCTGTATATATATATATATATATATATATATGTATGTATGTATGTATGTTAGCAGATAGAGAAAGGCATAGATGGTGTGATAGGAAGAGGGTGTGTTAAAAATAAAAAAAAATAGGAAGAGGAGAAGAGAAAAAAATGAATAAGGGGCTATTGTGTCATTTTGCAAGGTCTGATATTTTGTAATATATTGGAATTTAATATTAAGGGGTAATTTTGTCTTTTCATGTCTTAAGGCCTTGTTTGGATGAAATTTCATAAGAGGGAGTGTCATTGTCCAAAAAACGAATAACTTTCATTTGTCTGTCCTTTTGTCAAACCTCAGGGGGTGTGGCTGTACTTTACCCAAAATTAAATTATTGTCACATTTTTTGGAATTGATTTGAATTGTTGATATCCTTTTGGTTTGTATGGTGGTGTTTGATAGTCACACCTTCAGTGTAGTTTAATGTTGTGCATAACATGGAGTCACCATTACTCCTTTGCAACAGAGAAGAAAGAGTTGACGGGATTAGGTATTGGTGTGTCCAGCATGAAGTCTGGCGAACATTCCCTGCTTCGTGTGGGTTGGGAATTGGCTTATGGGAAAGAAGGAAGCTTTTCTTTCCCAAACATCCCTCCCATGGAAGATATTATGTATGAAGTTGAGCTTATTGGTTTTGATGAAACCAAAGAAGTAAGTTGTCCACATATACTGCATTTCAGACGAGTTTATTCATTTGTTCCCGAAATATTGTGGGTCGACTTTATTAGGGTACTTATAGCATGTCTTTGCGTAATGTGTATTGTAGGGGAAAGCTTGTGGTGACATGACTGTTGAGGAGAGGATTGGAGCAGCAGATAGAAGAAAGACGGATGGAAATGCTTTATTCAAGGAGGAAAAACTTGAGGAGGCTATGCAACAGTATGAAATGGTTACTAACTCACGTTCTTGATTTTCTTGTTCTATCATGCATTATTGGCATGAGTATGTAAGATTTTCTTCCCCTTCTCCTTACATATTGTAGTGGTTTTTGTTTGGATTAGGCGATAGCGTATATGGGAGATGACTTCATGTTCCAGTTGTTCGGTAAGTACCGGGACATGGCTTTGGCTGTAAAGAATCCCTGCCACCTTAACATGGCAGCATGCATGATAAAACTGGAGCGTTATGAAGAAGCCATTGGGCAGTGCAGCATTGTATGTATACAGTTCTATACGAATATTGCTTTCTCTTTTAAGTCTTTAACAACAGTGATGCAGAATGCATGAAAAACACTATGAGGCTTGCTTATTAGTCAGTTTTAAGGTTAACATACATCCTTGAAAGCTTCAAAAGTTACTTAAGAGTCCCTCTGATAACAAGTTCTAACTTCTGAAAATTTCTTCAATTTCAATTCAATGTCGACTTGCTTTAGACACACTATCCTTCCACTTTTTTGTAATTAATTACAAGTCATGATATTCTTCACCACAACTCCTATATTCATTTCTTTCATGTCTCATATTATTATGGTTTTCTATTTTTATTGAGCACAAGTTGTGAGCACATCTATCAATATTAATGATGTTGAGGCCTGAATCAAAACTATGACGGACATATTTTCTATTTTTGATTCTTGTTCAAAACTTTTTTTGCTTTATTCATGTTAGAGGATTTAAATATTAGTTTTACACCCTAGAGTAGATGGCGGTCATCATGATACCAGAGCAGGCAAGGTCCCAAGTTCAAGCCACATGTCACTCTCATAATTAATATTGAAACACGTGTTAGACCAAAAGAAGGCCACACGTGAGGGTGGCGCGTTAGAGGATTTTAATTATTAAAGTTGCACACTTTCTAACAGCTTAATCTTATAGAGTAGATGGTGGTCAACAATTCAGTTACCTTTTTCTTTTTTTGTGAATTTGTTGGCTCCTAGTACTTTTGACAATAGCAGCTGTTTGCACTACCCAAACTTCAGTTTTCTTTTCTTGTTATTCTGCAATTTCTGCTCTTTTGATGCCACAAAAGAACACAAACAATAGTCTTGATACCAGTTTGTGATTTTCACTGATATTTTAGAAATGAAAAGTCCATTTGGTCTTCACAGTTTTGCAGCTTCCCTTTATTTGCCAATTGACTTGAAGTTTGTCCTGCTTTTAGAGATTTAAGAAATGTTATATTTCAAATGAGTGCCATCTCTCTCTCTCTCTCTCTCTCTCTCTCTCTCATTTTTCGATCATATTATATTCCATTAGTTATTATTAGGCTAATATATAAATCTCTCTAAGAATGGTCGAATTTTCAGCATGACTATTATTTGATTTCCTACGTGATGTCTAGGTATTGGCAGAGGATGAAAACAATGTCAAAGCATTTTTCAGACGAGGAAAATCTAGGGCAGAACTTGGGCAGACAGATGCTGCACGAGAAGACTTTGTCAAGGCATGTAAATATGCTCATGAGGACAAAGCAGTTGCGAGGGAATTACGTTTACTTGCCGCACATGACAAGGCCCTATATCAAAAGCAAAAGGAGCTCTACAAAGGAATGTTTGAACCAAGACCTGAACCTAAACCCAAGCAAACCAGTTGGCTGATCCTGATTTGGCAATGGCTGCTTTCATTATTCTATCAACTTTTCAAGCGTGAAAGACACAAAGCTGATTAAAGTGAGCTTTGGAGTAAACAGGAGTGTCTAGTCAGAAATTTTATTTATTAAACAAAATGTTATGATATGCCGAAAATTCCTTTTCCAGTTGGGTTTCTATTTTTGGTTTGTGAAATCTCTTTTTTTTGATATAATTCGGCTCTAAGAAAGGAAGTCTATAAAAATAGACCTAGGCTATGGGTTGAAAAATAAGTCAGTTGAGTTGAGATTTGAGAGAGTTTTTGATAGGGTAGAGAGAGAGTTTTTGAGAAATTGAGTTCTTTTGTAAACACCTCTTTTATTTTATGTTTGTAAATTCTGATCTCTTTTCCTCTTTTCCTTGCTTGTTTTTGTTTGCCAAATAGTGAAGGTTACCAATAATTTCAGTTAACAGCTGAGCATAATTGCTGACTTGTCTTGAATTTATGCTATGTATGGCTCTCATGCTCATTCATTTCATTTTCTCATCCTAAACTGTGCTTGGTAGCAGATTGCTTATGAGGAAAATCTCCATGCTCAAGTCAAATTACAAAAAAAATTCAGGTTTATCGCGGCCCTTAATCCATTACGCGTGGATTAGAAATTTCGATGTCTCTTCTAGCCTTTTCCTTATCTTCTTCTTCTCTTTCGAGCTGATGTTTGATATGTCATTAAAACAGAATTTTTCCTGTTCCCTTTACATGTTTCGTTCCGGGAATTGCAAAACGAAACATGAGAAACAACAGGAATGCCATTTTATTTGTGTGAACGGTATAATTGCTCCTTCAATAGAGGTGACCAGTGAAGATTTGTTTTGGTCAGTCGAACAAAGATTTTAAGGTAATTGTGATCTCTTCTTGTTTAGCCATTTGCATACACTCTCATATGCTTCTGAAAATGAGTATTTTTGCGTCCTGTGGGTGATGAAATTATGCATCTTCCTGAAGTAACTCAATGGTTGCTGATTTAGAATGCTTAATCTGATTTTTCTTTATCAGAAAATTAAGGCATGATTTAAAATTTGCACCGGTAATGTATGTTGGTTTGTGTATTATATCTTGCAACAACCAAACTTTCACCCTTTTTTCCTTCCTAGTCATCATCAGAAGCGAGTTTCAATAGAAATACATATATATATTATTACTCTACATATAAAAATAATAATAAAATTGCATTTTTGGCTTAATCGTCCCTTTCTATGCACGCCCATTTGAGAAAAGAAAAATAAAATAAAAGGAAAAAAATAGATTTTATATCCCTTTTGTAACGAATCTTTTGTAATTCAAGGGAGTTTTATTGTTTCATATCAATCCTCCCAGATGTGTTGATTTTCCATTGTAATACATTGCTCCAGCACAAAGCAAACAACTTGTTTTACATAGCTAATTAAACATCCCCATAAAAAAATAAAAAGTAATTACAAAAAAAATAGACAAATATATATATATATATATGTAAATATATAGAGGAACCAATCTCTAGTCAACAACAGCTTCTGATTTCAGTCCCACAATACATCACCCCTTTATGGGTGAGACTGTCTCACCATGGTTGCTTGAGCAAGGAAGTCCATGCACAGTAAGCACAAACAATCTTCTGAGATATATATATATACACAGCAAAAGATAAGCTCATCAACACCAAGTCCTTCCAGTCACCCTTCTGCTTAGGACTCAGATTCTCCTTCAATGCATTCCCAAGCTTCTCAACGCCGACGAAAAGCCGTAGCAGAAGCTGCTTCTTGCCCTTCTCCTTCTCTTCCTCTGTTTCTGGGCTCGACCGATTGATCGGTACGCGGCTTTGGCAGGATACAGAGACGAGGAACCTTGGATTGGACTTCTTGTTGATGAGTTGTTGATGAGTTGAAGTGTTCTTGCTGTGGAAAGAATGACCAATTGAGAGAGCAGCCATTGCTGAATGTTGTAGATGGGGATCAGTTGTGATGGGTTAATTTGAGGAGGAGAGTTGGAGTGTTTGGTGAAGAAGATAAGCAATCACTTTGTCAGCATTTGAAGAAAATCTCTCTCATGGGACAACAGTGAATAACTTTTGTAAGCAATTGAATAAAAATATCTCTCATGGCACTACAATATATATATATATATATATATATATATATATATATATATATATACACACACCTTATATTTGTTTGTTATTATGAAGGAATGGATAAGGGTCCGGGTGTGGTCCTGGTTCAGGTCATGTGCCCTCACTTCTCTCTAAAAAGGATTTTTATATATATATATATATATATATATATATATATATATTTATTTATTTATTTATTTATTTATTTATTTATTTTAAAATCCTGGAGTCCTGGATTCAAGTGTTGTGATTACTTTGGTCTTACTTTGGTCTTTTTACGAGTAGTCTTCCCATCCCAAAATTGTTGGGTGTTTTGGGAATTTTAATTTTTTTTATGACAATTTGGTGAATTTCTAAGGGTATCATTGCTAAAAGACAAAAGAATAATTCATAATTAGTGTACAAATTAATGTAAAACTGATAGTTTAAGTACATTATGCAAAAAGTACATCTATTTTTTAAATGAAATATGTATTTTGAGAATTGGGACATTCAAAAATTAAAAAGATGGACAAGAATTTTAAGACGAAAGGTATATTTAGTGAGGATAAACTGACACCTCTATGGGTCGTGGTGGCATCTACCACATGTGAAATACGATTCAAACTCATATAGAATACGGCTAAATTATTGATATATATTTTTCTAGTTGGACATGATTGAAACACTTTCAAGCACAACACTTGATGATTTAGGGCTTGCTTGGTATACATTTTGTTTTGACCCGAAACAAAACAAATGTTTTTTTGTAGAGTGTTTTGAATAGTAATCGGAAGCATATTTTGTAATGTCTATTTGTTATAAAATTTTTGGAAGCAAAAATGTGGAAATAAATTTAGTAAAAAGGTGTTGCAAGTTTGAAAAATATAATGTTATGTTTAAAAATGTCATTTAAGATTTTTTTTTTTTTTATTTAAATTTTATTGTTCATCGCTGCAGCCTAAAAACACCAAATTGGTGTTTCGATTTTTTTACCAGTATTCATGAAATGTTCCGACACTGTGCAAAACAAAACATTTTTTATCAAATGCGTTTTCTTCACTGTTCACTGCTATAGTACCTGACAAAAACAAAAACACCAAAAACAAAACGTATACCAAATAGGCCCTTAGTAATTATATTTTTTTTATTAAAAAATGTGATTTCATATAATTTAAAATATATTATTGGTTAATAGAAATGTAATATAAAATTTTTAAAAACAAAACTAACAAAAATCTAACTCTACTAAGTTCCGAATCAGTAATTTTAATTTTAATTATATAGATAAAATGAGTAAAAATTATTATTATGATATATATATATATAATATTATTATTTGAATAAATTCCACTCACATCCTCTGAAGTTTGTCAATATTTCTACATAAATCCCTCTGTGTTTTATAATCCTACTTACTTCCCATATCATATCCAACTTAATAATAGTAGTGTATTATTTTACCTATTGCGCATGAATTATTTGCTATCATTTTAAGCAATAGAATAACTAAACTCACCTTCTATCAATTTTATGTTGTTGACATCATCTTCCTCAGGTGGCTAACGGTAGTGGAAAATCTATCACATGAACCAAAATCAAACTCAATGTACTAATTTTGTAATATTACCAATTTCACCTTCTTGCGTTGAACCTATAAAATATAAATTATTACATCATTGTGGATTTATAGGGGTAAATTTGATAATTCATTTGCTACTAATATAATAAAAATAATTATTTTACAAAGTTAGACTCTAAAAATGGACACTTATTCTTATTTTGGAACAAAGTGAGTAATTTTTAATATTATTGTAATTGACGGTGTCTTTATAAAAATAAATAAATCAATAAATTTGCATAACATATAGAAGTTTGGTCGCGTGCTGTATTGGTGTTTTCTAACTAAATATAATGGAGAAGACAAACTAAATAAAATTATAGGCCAGATGGTGAAAAAGTCTTAAACTAAACTTTGAAGAAATTTTAGCCATCATTTTGAGACACAACGCCAAACCAGCTGAATCACAAAACTAATATCATGCAGAAAAGAAAAAAAAAAATAAATAAATAAAATAAAATTGAAGCTGTACGTCTCGTTTAGGAAAAGACAACAATGCCCCTAGCGTGAACATATGCTGAATGAGGTGTTAGATTCTATGGATTCATAAGAAATGTCTTTACTTTCTTAATTTTGTCAACTTCATTTTGTTTTGGGTTTTGTTTGATCCTAAATCAAAGGGCTCTCTCTCTCTTCTCTTTCTGTAAGGATGCATGTGTTAGCTATAGAAAAAAATCAGAAAATTAATTAATGTATGATTGAGAGAGAAATAATTAGGAAGGAAGATTAGGAAAAGAAGAAGAAGAAGAAGAAGAAGATGGATTTGCTGGGGAACGGAACGTTTAGTGGGTTGTGGCCTGGTGCGTCGCCTGATAAAGGATGCAAGACAGTGATAACAATGAATGTAGCAAATATAGCCTTTTACATGTTGGGTTTCTTCTTCATGGTCTTCTTATGCAATGGTTTACACGCCCTCCTCAGGCCTTTGTCCCAGCCTCGCATCATCTCTGAATCCACCGTATGTAAATCTCTCTCTCTTGCATCCATGCTTGCTTACATGCATGTTGTTTGTCCCAGCCTCGCATCATCTCTGAATCCACCGTATGTAAATCTCTCTCTCTTGCATCCATGCTTGCTTACATGCATGTTGTTTATATATATATATATATATATATATATATCTTGTTTTTCTTTTGGTTAAAATTGTGGTACTTTTTTGTTTTTAAGTATATTCTTTTAAAAAAATTGAACTTGTAGAAAAATGCTAGCCTACCTAGTGCAGTGCACCAGGCTTCCGCCACTACAAAATTTGAGGAGGAAAATCTATTTACCTCCGCATGCAAAGAGGCTGTTTCCTATTTCGAATTCCACTGCCTATGTGGAGGGCTCTGGTATGCCTGTGCCGTGACCTCAACGGCACAATGGAGCAGTTTTCAAAATGCCAATTTGATCTGCCAATGCAGCCTCAACTCTGTGGTTAAAATTAAAGAACAATAGCAAATTTATGACATTTTATGATCATAATCCCAACTAGTGAAGAAAAAAACCTAAGTGTCAGCCTCAATGTGGTCTTCTCCTCCATTGTCCCAATGAAATGCTGTAATTGGCAGTGAAAGAAATTAGAATAGTTTTGTGATTGCTTCCCAAATTTTTTATTTTTCACTTTTTACTTTATTAGGCTAACTCTGGGTCGGGAGGGTGAGATGTATACAGTTTTACTTCCACATGGATAAATAACAAAAAAACCAAAAAACCAAAAAAAAAAAACAAAACACCAACTCAGCAAGACAAAGCAAACAGAGGAGCAAGCAATACAGGCAAAAATAACTACCAAAACTAACTATCCTGCACACCAGCTGACTGAATAAATGATTAAATGAACTAGGGAGCTGCCAGGAAAAACCAATGGAATGAGAAACTGCACCATCGGAACCTTGATGGAGAGCAGTCGGCATCTGATGGTATTGAAAATGGATTGAATTACAGCAGAGGTAGAGGAAGCTTTTGAACTGAACATCCGAAAAGTCCCTTTCCCTCTGGATACCATATACGCAAGCTGCAAGAGTTAACCTGTTAGTAGAAGCTTGGTTAAGCTTAGACTGGGAAGACCAATGGAAAGAGCACCAAGCAATCAAAAACTGCGAGTTAGAGGGGGAAATATGGAAGTTACAAATGAGCTGATAGTGGGAACAAATGCAGTAGGAGAATGAACACGGGAAGAAAACGTGGTCACGACTTTCAGCCGCATTGGAGCAGAGAGAGAGCACAGATGTTTGGAAAGTGAAGGTAGGAAAAGGCAGGGCTATCTCTGATACGAAGTTTGGTGAGAATGGCAATCCACAAGATAAAGGAGTGTCTAGGAATGATGGTTTTAGGCCAAACAAGGCTGGAACAGTGGACTCGGAGGGATGGAGGGGGGAGAGAAAAGGAGCCCGAGGGGGAGGGAATTCAGGAGATACTGTCCGGGGAGGAAGAGTTAAGAATAAGGAGGGAGAGATCTCTGAAGTCATCCACGAATCTAGTAAGACGAGAAGGAACCAAAAATTGAGGTGGATGAGACTACTTACCTTAGCATACTTCCCAAGATTGGAGGAGCTAAGTCTAAGGTGAATGTGCGTTCCCTGAAGGGAGCCAGTTATCAAACCATAGAAGGGTATTCAGACCATTGCCAATGCTGTGCTTGATGAGATGTTTAGCAAGAGATCTAAGATTTAAAATTCTCCTCCAGCACCAAAAGCTGGTGGAGGTGGAGGTGATTTTAATGTCCCAAAAGCTCCTGTTTCAAATGAGGTAGGTTAGGTGTGAACCCAACTAGACCAAATATTGGGTGAGTTGACTGAGAAGAGAGTCCAAATATGTCTCATGATTGACGCTCTATTCCACGGGTCTGTGTTAGGGAAGCCTAGTGTCACGCCCCGCCTATGGAGGTTGTACCACGCAGGTGACACGCAGACGCTAAGGAGGACGTTGCATGGCAACTGCATGGCAAGTGGAGTTTCTAGAGTCTTCCGGAGTAGTCTAGAGTTGTGTGGAAGATTCTAGATATGTATAGTATATTCTAGAAGTGTGTGGAAGGTTCTAGAATTCTCCAGAATTGTGTGGAGTAGTATGGAGGGTTCTAGAATGTTGTAGATATGTATGGAGATGTGTAGAAGGTGGAAGAAGATTCTAGATAATTAATCTCCACCGTTGGTTAGAATGCATCCTAGCCATCCATTAGGGATGGGGATGCCTATAAATAGGAGTAGGACTTCATTTTGCAAACAACAAGTCCTGGAGTGAGTCTTGAGAGCCTTGTAGAGAGCTTGAGTGTTAGCCTTGTACAAAGCATTCTTTGAAGTAATAGAAGTGTTCTTTCCTTGCCAACTTAAGTGTCTTAGTGTGTGTGAGTGTGCAAGCCAAGTGAGGAGAGGGCGAGGGCAACTACAACACTAGTAAGCGCACGAGGGGAGTGTGTTGGCTAAGGTGTGCACGGGAGTTAGGCTGACCAAGTACTTGCGAGAGTGAAAGCAACGTCTTGGTGCCGCACGGGAGCAGCTAGAGTGGTGCTGAAACTCTAAGCCCGTGACACTAGGCCTCCCTCTGACTTGGGATCACAGAACTTTCCCAAAATGTTAGGTCACTGAACTACTAAAGCAAATTCAGAAGGTATATATATATATATATATATATAGTTCATAGTATTGAGATCATTTTTCCTATGAAATTGTATCAGTCTCGAACACATTCATTTCATGTAAACAGGAGGTATCACATTTAATGACATTCTCCTTCTCATTTTTTTTTTTTTTTTTTAATTTTATTTTATATATATCCTAACAAGAAACTCACACATTCACGTTGCTCCTTTGGAGACTTGAACTCTCAACCTTCTACTTTGGAAAGTGAAAAAGTACCATTGGATTACAGCCCGTGATTCCTTATCATATTTTCTACTCCACACCTTTAAAACCATACTTCTATTTCCCTTCACGTCAAAGGACTTGAGTGAAGTCTTTCATATGACACAATGCATCCCTCTGCTATTCATTTATCTTCATCCAAGTTGGTTCTCTCTCTCCATCTCCCCACTACCAAAGTAGTTAGTTACTTATTATTTTTTGGTGTCAAGATAGTAGCCCCAAATCACCAATGTGAAAACTGCATAAATTAATTTACAGACTCATGCAAACTTCTAATGCCATCACACAAGCCCTTCTAAGTTAGATGTCCATCACGATATTCTGTTTGTAGAGGAATTACCTGTAAACACACAATTCATTATGCATTTTTCTTGTTATATATGATAGAGTGCTATATAATAACTTTAATGGCTACCTTCAGGTAGGATTATTTCTTGGAAACATACCATTCATACGATATGCAATCAACAGCAAAGAAGGGAACAGAACACTGAATAATGTAGCTGATGTGGGTATGATTTGCAACATGTTTGTGTTAGGCCTAGACATAGATCCTAACATACTCCTTCAACCCCCATCCCGCGAGACTAAAGTGGCCTGTGCAGGCATGCTCTCCACATTTGTCCTAGCCCTCTTAATAACTCCATGGCTCTACTTCCCTAAAGTTTCAAATCTTCTATTCAACGTTTCCCTCTCTGTCGTTGTCTCCGGCACCGCCTCTCCCCTCCTCACCCGTCTCATAACCGACAAAAAGATCGGTAAATCAGACATAGGACGGTTTGTGGTGTCCGCGGGGACGCTGTCCGACTTGGTGTCTACTCTCATCCTCTCCCTAGGGTACATTTTATTTGATCCTCTTGCTAATTATAACACCCGAAATTTGAAGTCAGTCCTCGGAATGATTTCTACCTTGGTGATCCAATCTGTGATAGCTGCAAAGGTACTGAACCACCATCTACTCTAAAAGTTTAAACTTCTAGAGAGAGTGTAACTTTAATATTTAAATCTTCTAACAGGTATCACCGGTATTCATGAACTGGGTGAACAGCGAAAACCCTGAAGGGAAACCCATAAAAGGCTCACATCTAGTCCTCTCAACAGCATATGTTGTGGTGCTATGCAGTTGTTCGCCGACAATGGCAGGGTTCAACAAGATGTTAAGCGCGTTTTTGGCGGGGATATTTATGCCAAGGGAAGGGAGGATATCAAAGATGATGATTAACAAAGTTCACTACTTCTTGATTACCATGTTTTACCCACTTTTTTTCTTTTGGGTGGGTTCTGTAACTGCCTTGGAGGAATTCGAAGGCGGCCAAATAGGGACATGGGCAAGGTTTTTTTTCCTTTTTGTGACTGCAACAGCCGGGAAAGTTGCCGGCACTGTCGCGTCCGGGGTGATGTTAGGGTTTCATTGGCCGGAATCAGTTGCCATTGGTTTGCTTCTGAACGTAAAGGGGCATATTCATGTGTACCTGGCTATCATTGCGAATGTAGTAAGTCTCTGTTCCTCTCCTGATGATGTTTTTGTTTTTGTTAATTAGTGCTTGTCATTGCTGATTCCTATGCCATGTTTTATTGCTCCCACTAAGAGCAAGAATCACAGAACCATTAGTAACCATGAAATATGTGTTACTTTAAATAATCAAATTGATTATTGTGACCAGCTAAAATGTTTGAATCAAATGCTTCCACTACTGAGAAAAGCCAGAAGTTTTTAAGCTTTGAGATAAAAACACCTAGCATAACTTTTGGTTGGAAAATTGAAGTGATATTACTAATGCTATGTTTGGGAGCAATGTACTGATTTGGTGCTCCCAAAGGCAACATATGAGTAATTGCGCATCTCTTACATCAATTTTATTGCTCGCGTTTCCAATCTTATTGCAATAGTGTGCGCACGTGCACTAATCAAATTGATACTGTGTTTCAAAATTTCAAATGCAGTATAATATCACAACAACTTCTACCAGCACAACAATGGTATTTGCATCCATCCTGACCATTATTTACACACCGCTGGTGGTGGCAAACATCATCGAACGTGCACGAAAACGCTCACCAACCCAACGGATGGCGCTACAATGGCTCAATCCATCAAGCGAGCTTCGGATTATGCTGTGCCTTCATGGTCCTCAAAATGTGCCTTGTGCCATCAACTTCATGGAGATTTCTAGAGGGCCAGTGGAACCCGGCATCATGGTTTACCTTACTGACATGATCGAACTAACTGACAAAGTAGCAGCCACACTGTCACACGGTGATGCAACCGAGTCGGTGTCTGTCACCGACAAGACGGTGATTGCCAGGAGAGAGCAGATAACAAATGCAGTGAAAACTCATTTAGAGGAGGATGGGAAAGGCATCAGTATCCAGCGAATGCTTTCCCTCGCAACAATCAATAACATGTATCAGGATATCTGCATTCGAGCCGAAGACTTGTTAGCTTCCCTAATCATATTGCCATTCCACAAAGATCAGCAGACAGATGGGCGGTTCAATGCAGGCCATTCTGGATTCAGACATGTCAACCGTAAGGTAATAAAGCTTATCTTTGTGCTCAAAGAACGGAACAACTGTATTTTGAGCCTGTTCGATTCTGATAACAGTTTTCTGTTTTTCAAAATTCCGAAAACAGGTTGACAGTTTTCTGAAAATTCAGTAGGAAACGGAATTTAAATAGTTCTTTAAAACAATTTTCTGTTTTCTCAGATTTTGAGAACTGTTTTAAGAAAATTAAACCAAACAGGCATTTTCTTCTAATTCCGTTGCTTTATGCCAGCTAGTTTTGGTGTTTCACAGGTGCTTCGACATGCCCCGTGCTCAGTGGGAATTCTAGTGGACCGAGGTCTTGGATTGATCAACACCAAGGCAGAACCATCTGTACCCCTTAATGCAGCAGTCATTTTCATCGGTGGCAAAGATGACCGGGAGGCGCTAGCCTATGCCAGTCGCATGGCCAGACATCCAGGTGTGAAGCTCACAGTCATAAGATTCCTTCTGGATTCGAATTCAAATAGTGGTACAACAAGAGCTGGTAGAGCAAGGCTAAAAACTGAGGAGCAAGAAGAAGAGATGAAGCTAGACGACGAGTTCTTTGCCGAGTTCTACGACAAACATGTAGCCGAAGGGTTTGTAGCTTACATGGAAAAGTATGTTGCTAATTCCGGTCAAACGTTTTCCATCCTGCAGTCATTTGAAGGGCAATATGAGCTCTTCATTGTGGGGCGAGGAGGGAGGGCAAATTCGGTGTTGACAATTGGGATGAATGACTGGGAGGAGTGTCCAGAACTTGGCCCTGTAGGTGACATTCTTTCAACTTCAGAATATTCTGGGACGGCCTCTGTCTTGATCATCCAGCAACATAGTCTTAAAGGAGAATTAGATGGCCTCGACGACGAATTTACAATCATGTAATTAAATGTCCAGTGTATTTGATTTCAAGAAACATATATAATTGATAGCAAGGAAGCTGTGTATGTGAGGACAATGTGAGAAATGACTGGGAAACTATTACATAGAAGAAAGTAGCATTCTCATGTGATTCATTGTATATACTTTTTACAAGATTCATTGTATATACAGAACAAAACTTTGTTGTAGGATTACTGGGAAAATTAGTAAATTCCAAATTATTTTTTCATGTTTAAATATATTTTTAAGGATAAACATACTTCACTCACTCAAAAAAAGCTTTATCAAACAACACACACATTGCCATGTGCACACGAATTGTCAAAAACATGTACACACTGAGCCGCTCATCAATGCAGCGGAAGAAAATTCTCTCATGTGAACAGTACATCCTCTTCCGTCGAGATTAGGATGTACTTTACAAAAGGTTGGAATATTTGCTAAACATTCTAAATTTTTTGTAAAGTACAACCCAAACGGAACGGAACAGGTCCTACTATTTTACAAGATTCGGTTCGCAATGCAGCTGGAATGCTTTGCTACAAGCCTTCGTCTACAACCATGCTACCATCACATCTGATTCACAATTTAAAGTGACTAATAGCAAGTCCAATTCTCAGACCCTCTGAGCTGACATGTTATGTTAGTCCTCAGATACTCATCTTTATGGACCATAAGTAATACTTATCATAACAAATTATTTAAAAGTATCTTTATAAATGTAGTAACTCCATTATTACTTAAATGAAAAGCAAATGAAATAGAAATATACAATAGTGTGCGATCATAAATTATTGACCTCCAAAAGGGTAACTCAAAAAAGAGTTTATTTCTTCTTTCCTAGCCAAATGAGAGTTCTATCACTATTTTTTTCCTTCTTCCCATAGTTTCCCCACAATTATATAATTCTTGATTGAAAGTAAAATCTTGAGGAGACTAAAACAATAGTTTAGACTTTCCATTTCTTTCTTCTTTAGAAGTGGTTGATTATGTGCAAACAAACGACCATAATCCATGTACAGTCTTCCTATTGCCACTTTAAGTCAAACAGAGCAGGTATAGGAGTCCGAGCAAATTCAAGAACGGTAGCTCAAAAGTGGCAAAATGTAAGTCACATAGAGTAAGAATTGAAGTGAAAGCGCGCGCGGAATGTGAGAGCGAAAGTGTAACGACCCGAACCTATGGTTCCGAACCGTTAACCGAGTCCTTACCCGAACCCGATGTCACCTAAATCAATCCACAACATGTCTAGTGTCCATGCATCATTCTTGTGTCCTAATTATATCATGTGGAGGCTTTAAAACAACTATCCAAGACTCGGGGTTGACTATGCCAAAGAAAGAACAAAAAGTCACAAAGCAGCTACAGTTCAGTCGACCTCCGGTAGGCTGAAATGGACCCCCCTGTACCAGTCGACCGAAGTAGCCATTTCGGTCGGTCGGTTGTGACTCCAAACAGTAGCTGAGGCTACTCGAATGTTCGGTCGACCGCTGAAACAACCCTGCGAGCTGAGCAAATGCACTAGAACTGCTACTAGACTGCTATGCATGCCAAAGATGAAAAAAAATCACATCTCATTCAATTGAAATACAAGATTTACATAACTAATACATGATCCCAAAATGATATTCATGAGTTACATCATCATTATAATAAGTTTACAATCCATGAAGCAAAATCAAAGTTCTTACAAGGTCTAAAATTTATGTAATATTTCTGTTTTTCATCATTTTCCATTTTTCAGAATTTTCTGATTTTTTCGAGGGTATTTTCTCTTTTCTCGTTCTGCGTGCCTGACACCGTGGGGTGTGCCGGGTGTGTCCAAGAACCCACAATACCACTTCTTTCTTGCCAGTCCTTGGCTTCTGCCTCCGCCATCAGTGCTCTCGTAACTGCTTCCGAATAATTATTTAATCCCAAAAGTGTCACCCTCGGCCTAATAAAACGATTTAGACCGTACACAAACCGCCATATCTTCTCTTCTTCATTCCCTAACACATCTGTCGTGAAACGTGAAAGAGAAGTGAACTTATTCTCATACTCTGTCACTGACATGTCACCTTATTCAAGCCCGTCAAACTGTGTCCTTAATTCCCGTCTCTTAGTCTGCGGGAAATACTTATCAAAGAAAAGACTCTTGAATGCATCCCAACTCATACTGTCAATGTCATGCGCGCTAGTTATGGTCTTCCACCATACTGTCGCATTGCTAACAAACTTATACGTAGCTAAGGTGATCTTCAACCGATCATCAGGCACGGCTATTGCTCTGAAATACTTTTCAACTTCATCTAACCAATCTTCCGCTACCAACAGGTCTGGACCTCCCTCAAATGCTACTTTCATGAGCTTGTCAAACTGAATCAGGTACCTAAGATTCCGCTCCATCTCTGTCTCCTATGGTTGAATAACCGGTCGTGGTACCACTTGAGGAGCTGTGGTACTCGCTAAATTCTGAAAGGTTGATGATACAGCCCTTGCTAATAAGTTATTGTCCACCGATACTTATGGATTATCATCCACCTCTCTATCTCAGCCCTGTCCCATTGAACCCTGTCTGGTTGGGATGGCCCTTCACCTGCTCGCTGTCCAACTTCATTCGGAGCCATCTCTCTACGTCATCTTCAAACACGATTCTACAAAGGCAACTAAACGATCAAAACAAGAGTACATGAAGTAGCTTAATCCACGAGCTACGGTGCTCACACTATCCGTTCGATAAAAGGTAAAACATTCAGAAATATAGAAGTGATCAAGCTCCTCACTTACGTGGGTCAAAACCTTCCGTAACTTAACACACAACACTACCCCGAAACCTCAGACTCGTTGACAACGAAACAAACAAGTTATGTATGCATTACTCCTTAGTTCATGTTTTCTACCATGCTCAAATAAATGTCATCACATCATATAATTCATGCTTTCATAGATAATAAACACTTAACAATTAGATACGTAGTCAATTAAGCATGTTTTCATCAATAGTAAACAATTTACAAGTAAACATATAACAAATCAAGCATATCTTCACATTCAACAAACAATAAATATAATAACAATGAACACATTATCATATAGCATGCTCACATTCAATTACTAATTCATGAATTCCAAAGTCAACTAACACGTAAGCACATAACAGTGAATCATGATCTTGAACTAACAAATAAGAACCACATAAGTATTCAATGCTGTCAAACCCAACTCTAACCCCACTAGATTAACCCTACCCGTCGTCCTTAGGTTTTCGAACCTAAAACTCTGATACCAATTTTGTAACGACCCGAACCCATGGGTCCGAACCATTAATCGAGTCCTTACCCGAACCCAATGTCACCTAAGTCAATCCATAACATGTCTAGTGTCCATGCATCATTCTTGTGTCCTAATTATATCATGTGGAGCCTTTAAAACAACTATTCAAGACTTAAGGTTGACTGTGCTAAAGAAATAACAAAAAATCACAAAGCAGCTACAGTTCGGTTGACCGAAATAGAGCTCCGGTCGGCCGAAATGAACCCCCTTGTACCAGTTGACCGAAGTAACCATTTTGGTCGGCTGGTTGTGACTCCAAACAGTAGCTGAGGCTACTAGAATGTTCGGTCGACCGAAATGGACCGAAACAACCCTGTGAGCTGAGCAAATGCACCAGAACTACTACTGGACTGCTATGCATGCCAAAGATGAAAAAAAAAAAAAAAAAAAAAAAATCATATTTCATTCAATTGAAATACAAGATTTACATAACTAATACATGATCCCAAAATGATATACATGAGTTACATCATTATTGTAATAAATTTACAATCCATGAAGCAAAATAAAAGTTCTTACAAGGTCCAAAATTTATGTAATATTTCTGTTTTTCATCATTTTTCATTTTTCGGAATTTTCTGATTTTTTCGAGGGTATTTTTGTCTTTTCTCGTTCTGCGTGCCGGACATCGTGGGGTGTGCCGGGTGTGTTCAAGAGTTGGTTGGGATATTCCATTGGGTTCAGGACTCTTGGAATTGTATTGGTTGTCATTTTAACATTTTTCTGTTTTTCAGGCCGAACGGTCCCGGGTGGGACCCGCTACCGGAATTGTCACATACGGGAGTGTTGTTTGGGTCCATTTGCATATCAATTAATTTTATTTAGTGTGTTTTGTGTGGTTTTAATATGATTGGTGTGTGTATGTGTGTGTAGTTGTGGAAAAGTCAAAAAGGAAGATTTTTTTTTAATGGTGGGACCCACCACCACTAATTTTTAGTTTTTGTGGCCAAGAGGCCAACATTTTTGGCCTCATTTTCTTCTTCTCTCCTGTCTATCTCTCTCTTTCCCTTCTCTTTTTCTTTTTCTTTTTCACAAACTTCAATCTTTAATTAATCTCCAACCGTTAGGAGATTTTTGGTGTCTTTGCGGCAAAACGGAAAGCTTGGCGAGATCTACGTATTGATATAAGCAATTCATCATTTGGTGCCCTCTAGTATTGTCGAACCTAGGGCTTGGAATTGGGGCTTTTTGCATCTTTGAGTTAGGGGAAGTCTAAATCATGAATCCTATGGTTTTAGTGAGTTTCTTTGCATTTTCTTACTTGAAAATCTTGATATTGTGAAGCATGCTTAGTTGTAACTTTTTGATTGTAATGTTAAGCATGAGATAATATGGATTCAATTACTTGGGTTAAGGATATGATAGTTTCCTTTATTTGTGTCAAGCATGCTATTTTCCCCATGATGAAATGTGAAAGTATGATGTGTATGATTGACTTCATGATTTAGATGTTTTAATAATATGATTATAATGTATATCATGATTTTTATATTGATAATTGGTTGTATAACATGCATATTCTTGACAAGGGGGTGAGTTGAGAGGTTGAAGGTTGATGTGGGAAAAATGGTTAGGAAGTGAGATGATGGGTTGTGTTGTAAGTTAAGGTAATGGTGATGAATGATTTTAGTGAGGTTGAGTTGGAAAGAAAGAATGTAGCATTTGCATTTCATATGTGATGGAATGGTTTATGAAAACTGTGAAATTCATGTATGTTGGTATGATTTACAATCCCATAATCCCTTTTCTTTGATCTTCTTTTCTTTGGTTGCGACTCACGGGATTTTTAGGA